TTAAAATATTAAAAACTGACCTTTCAAATTTTATCAAATAGAACATCATCGTTATTAATGTGTAAAAGTGTAACCAAAGAAACTAGAGGAAGAGAAGAAAAAGCAAAGAAATTTGAATCTTGGTCAGTTTTCATAAAAAATCCAGGGGATTGAAACCTATGACACCCGAGCAGACAGGCAGGTCTGCTAGCAATTATGTCATCGTGGCAACCAAAGTCACTATAAGATGGATTTTTCATATTTAGAAGTCATTATTTTGAAGACAAAATGATTTCCTTTTTTTTTTTTATATAAAGGGAAGTAGCCCCTAAATAATACAAATGGAGCAAAGAAAAACAATTCCTTTCCTTTGACCAAGTTAACAAGGGGTTTTGTTGACATAGCCCCAAAAGACGTGACATTATCACAAGTTTATTATGATGTCACAAAGATGACAAAAATAAACCTTTTCACTCCTATTATATATCAAAATATTTTTCTTGCTTAATATAATCATAACCAACAGTCAACATACTATGCAAACGCATAACAGTAAGAGAGCTGTTAAATAAGTTTAATGGCCACTACCCAATAATGTCACGTTATAAAAATATCAAGGTAAAGTAACTATTGCCCCCATGTGGGATGCAATTTTTCATTATTTGAAGCCCCGCCCTGGCTTTAGCCGGGGGCCCTGAATATAGCCGGGCCATGAATCTGGCCATAACGGCTGAAAGGGGTTTCTCGGACCTCTTCACGGGCGATCCTCATCCGCATGGTGGCATTGTGTGTCACCGGGTGTTTATCGCTTGTGTGAGGTCCTGGTGGGGTACAGCAAGCAAGCATGTTATAAAAACACTTGTAAAAGTAAGAGAACTGGCTTTCTCGGGTGAAAAGTTTAATATATTTTGATTGACAGCTCATCAGATGATGTCAGATGTATAATGTCCTTGGGTTTAAGTGGACAGTGCAACAGAACAGGGTATCCTCCCCTTGAAAAACTAATTCAGTGGGGAGTGAACAGAAGCTTTTCAACATAGAGGAAGAAACATCGGCAGACTTTTAATCGGTTGCAATTGGTACAACACCTTCTTACATCCAAAGCAACTTTACCGGGATTTTTAAAATAATTTTTTTTAAACATAAAGAAAGAAAGATAACTACATTAGTAGGGTAAACAAAATTCTTTAAACATAAAGAAATATAACTACACTGGTAGGGTAAACAAAATGTTTTAAACATAAAGAAAGATAACTACACTGGTAGGGTAAACAAAATGTTTTAAACATAAAGAAAGATAACTACACTGGTAGGGTAAACAAAATGTTTTAAACATAAATAAAGATAACTACACTGGTAGGGTAAACAAAATGTTTTTAACATAAAGAAAGATAACTACACTGGTAGGGTAAACAAAAAGTTCCTGGAACTGATGCAACAGAGTACCTTTTACACATAGTATATTTTACACATGATGTACAATAATTAAACATATATAGATTTAATCTTTGTGTTTTATGAATGAAAACTGTGTTGAACAATACAAATTCAGCTTACAATCCGTTGGCTGGAACATAACTGTCACAAGTCAAGGAGACACTGTATTAGAATATCAACTATTCATTAGCTACTAGGAAGAAGATGGAGCCTGTTTGGGAATGTCCTGAGTGCAGTGATGTCAATTTTTGATTTATTAATACATTCATTAAAGTCAACAAAGAAGGTTTGCTGTAAGACTGGTTATTCTGTCTGGCAGAAAATTAAGTGCAAAACTTAACTAATCATGAAAAGTCCACAGAGGGCTTGGCCTGTATTGATTCAAGGTCAATGCCCCATTGGGCGAGAAAAGCAGAGCACGAAAATTTAACAAGTGATTACTGTTGTTTTATTCCAAATAACTTATAATTTCACCATAGCCGGCTTTTTCGTCATACAAATTATTCTACTTATAAAAATATATTTGAAGGGTAAAATAATGTAAAGTAAATCATCATCCTCATTATTTTCCAGTTCTGCAGTTAGGCGTTATGGGAAGGATCATTTTGCGATCCATTGCTTGATGGGCAGCATTGGCTCCTGTCATTCTGTGTCGATGTAGAAGCTCTTTATTGTCATCAATCCATCTTCTCCTTGGGTGACCTCTTGCTTTCACATCAGATCTTCTCATGTGTAACGCCTGTGTTGGTAGTTGTTTTTGGCCTATTCTTACTAGATGACCAAACCATTTGAATTTCTGAATCTCATTGAACTTGCTGCGTGGTGTTGTTTCCTCAGTTTGTCTGATAATATTGTTTCTATCTTTGTCTCAGATAGTTAAGTTGGTGGCTTTTTTTATAAGGGCATTTTATTTCATAGATGTTTATTTTACGTAGCTTAGCCTTTGACAATGTCCAAGTCTGGCACTGGTAGCACCGTTTTGGTATGAACATACAGCTTAAAATTTGTTTATCGGCACTCATACTTATGTTTGTATGTCTTAATAACACCGTCAGTTGATTTATAAGTGTTGTACGAAGCTTGACAAACGCACATAGAGAAGGTGATATTCACCCAGTTAAAATCTGTTTTAAAAAAAAGAAATTCATCATTATGAAAACTCTACCCTAAAAAAAACTAGAGGAAGAGAAGAAGCAGACGAAATTCGCAGTCTTGGTCAGTTTTTGCACATAGGTGATTTTTTTTTTTTTTTTTTTCAAATATGAAGTGAAGTAAAAACTAAATACAAACAGAACAAAGAAATAACTGCTTTCCCTCAATGCGACCAAGAAAATATGTTTTCTTTGTTGTGCACAGCTACAGAGAGCAAAGTGACATCATCATAGGTTTATTATGACTTCATAATACAAAAAATGTTTCACTCCTGAATAATCTATGACATTTTTAAAATTGCAAATATAATCATATGCACTAGGTCTTATTCACACTTAACCTCCCTCGCCTGGATCTACACACCTGGTCATGCAGGCGTAAAGGGTAATGAGCGTGGGGACCAACTGGCAAGCAATGCACCAATGCATGTGGAAAGAAGCTGTACGGACTGGGCTAGTGGATAATGAGGAATCCCTGACACTAACATGATTGCGAGACATGGGAGTAAAGCCCGGTGAAGCACGTCTATGTCGTCTTCGAGGCCATGATATGAGACAATATAACCAGCTTCTCATTGGAACAATTAGCAGAAATACCTTGGAATGGCTGCTGTATCGGAGGACTGAGCACGCAGGGGAATGGCCAATGTGCAGTGACGTCAATTATGATAACATAACATATACATTATGTCTACACACTACATAGTTGCAACCACTTCCAAAGCTCTTATACAGACGTAATGGTCACTGCCCAAATATGTCATGTCAATACAAAAAATTTAAATAAAAAATAAGTCAGAAAACCGGCTTTTTTTTGGGGGTGATAGAAACTAAAAAATTTCATTAATTTAAAAAATGAAACAAATTATTGCTCTTGGTAAACAGGACAGAAATAAAAGGAAAACAGCTGAATTAAGTACTGGCTTTGAAGTTGGCATCCTTCCAATATTTATCACAATGGAAAAGATAAAAGTAAATATATATTTACAAGTTAAGATACAACACTGACTTCAGTGGTCTCCTTATTGCCACATTTGTTATCACCTGAAAAAGAAGTATTCTTTATTATTTTCTTCTTAACATTTATCACATACTGAAAGATACAAAATACATTTACCAATCACAAAAGCCTCACTGTTTTCAGTGATGTCATGTCACTCCATTTCTTTTCAAATACAAATATAGTCGTTTAATTACCTCACCAAAAGATAGCAAAATACATTTACCAATCATAAAGACAAGACTTTTCCAGTGATATCATCAATAATTATTGTTCTCTTGGCAAAGAGGACAGAAATGAAAGGATATCACCAGATTTCTCACCAAACATTTATCACAAATTTCAAAGATAAAAAAAACATTACAAAAAGCATTACTGTTGTCAATGCCTTTCTTATGACCACACCACATATCACGTAAAAGTTAGTGATAAACAGTTTTAATCTTTTAATTTTACCCATCACCCACCCACATTGGACTGCAGGTTACTTTGTAACCATATAGCACCCCAACATAAATGTGTTAACCCTTCTGCCTTGAGAAAAACAAAAAAAAAAAAAAAACACTTGCGGTTGGGTCCAAAACCCCCTGAATGTCACATTTCTGACTTGCCTAGAGAGACAAATGTATGAGATGTATAGTATTAGTTAATGCAACTGGATGAGTTTGCACTGGGCACACATTCAGGAGGTCAGGATATTAATACATTAACTAACAACAGCCTTTAGAGGGGTTTTTCTATGTGCTAAATGGCTTTTTTAAAGCCAAGAATGATGTCAGATTTTCTCATTAGCCTCTGTGGTAAAAGTCACGGGGTCACAGCATGAGTCATCCACTACGTGTGTGTTTTTTAGGCCTCAGGGGATGTATACCATTTAATACCTTACCCTGTACCTCTTTATTGATTAATCCTTTCATATTCTTCTTCTTCTTGTTCTTCTTCTTCAGCATTCTGAGCCCTGGAGGTTCATTGCTGTCGATATCACCTACCTCCACTCATCTCTCTGGTTGGCCTTCTCTTTCCAGTTGGTGACATCAAGTGTTTGCAGGTCTGTCTGGACATTATCTCTCCTTCATCTTCTTGGTCTGCCTCGTGGGCTATAACCATTCAGCTTCCTTGAATATAGTTTTTACCTCTCTATCATCTGACTTTCTCTTAATATGCTCTCAATACACTTTTTAAAAATATATCCTTATACATCTGAAAAATAATTTTTAAATGTCGATAAATACATTTTAAACTAATTTATTAGTGACCTGTGTAAAAATTGATTTTACATTTTTTTTTCAAGAATCCTAACGGGGTCATGATCTATTTTCTCAAGGCCAAAGAGTTCAAAGTATGCTGAGTTGCTTGGTGCCAAGTTAAACAATTATAATGAAAGACACAAAAACATATATAAATGCCACAGAAATAAGAGAAAATCAGCACAATCAAGTAACAGGAGCTTCTGTGCTGAAGTAGGGCGTCGCATCCTTGACAAGAATGGTGTGGCAGACGTCACAGACTTTGGAGGGGCGAAAATTTGATCCACTTGGAACAGACTTTGATGTGCAGTCGGAACAAAAAATTCGGCCACAGTGTCGGCAGTGATGCTAAACAGATATAGAATTAGAATACAGTGAACAAAAAAAAAATTCTGTATAAATGACATACAACAAAGAAACAATGAAGTCAAAAGAATCCAGTTTACTGTACTTAGTTGGATCCCACATGGCTCAGTCTCAGTATAAGTGACATACAACAAAGAAACATAAATCAAATAAGTCAGAAGGATCCACTTTACTGCACTGGGTTTTATCCCATTTAGCTTAGTCTCTCTCCACAGAATTGCCAGCTGCCTGCTGCACACACTCTGTGTAGCACAAGCAACGATCCCCAGGGGAATTGCACTCATCAACTGAACAAAGCTGCAGTGACACGAACCCATGACCTTCAAAGCATGAGGCAAACAGCCTGACAGCATCACCATGGAGACCTCTAATACCCTATTCACAGCACAGATGACTGAGCATATGGTGCTAACTGCATATTTTTTCCAGACCAACCAACTCTCAAAGGCTGTTGTCATAAACACAAAAAAGCCACCTTTACTTCCTGGGACATTACCCTGGTTCCCATGTGATGCTGGATCAACCTGGGATCCAAAGTCAGTTATACAAAACCCCCCATGATAGAGATTTGAACCTAAGACCTTCGGGCAAGCATCAAGCTATCACAGCTTGCAATGACAAAACATACAGCCTGTTAACTATAAACTGTAACTGAACAAAGACATAAAGAATAGATTGCACAATTGATCACCTGGCATGAGCTGTATCTCGCCAGGTGTATACTACAGTAACAACTGATTAAAATGAATAAATAAAGGAATCTTTCAAACTCAAACACAAAACTGACTACATTCAAAAACTGCAAGGTGAAGAGCATGTCCTTATGACTGCATAATTCTGCATTAAACCAGTTTATCGCGGTGGCTTCCACAAATCTCAGTGATCTATGGTTGGCTGAAGTGTAAATATTTCAAAACTTCAAAACGTATCTTCCTTACAATATGCTCAGAGTTCAAAATATGACACGCAATGGCTGATAGGAGAATTTTTTTCAACCAGTTACCTGAATCCTTGATGTTGAATTTTGTTAGTGTTTCGCACTACTTTTAACACTAATAGTGGACTATGTTCTGCAACCCGTTTCTCCAGTTGTTGACTAGTTCTGCCCACACATGCAGCATTACAGGTGCATTTAAAGTGGTAAATACAATTAGATTTGGCGTACGTCAACAAGGGTTCTTTCACTGGTAACGTGGGGATTATGGTGGTTTTAAATAATTATAAACTGTTTATTGTATAAGGAGACATTCTGAAGACCATTTATGAATGAATGTTGATAGAAGACACAAGGTTAGATAAAATAAAATGTGTAAAAATGTGTAAACAAAGAATTAGGTGTGGATCAGGCGAGGAGGGACGTATGAAAGGTAGCGAACAAGGAGTTAATAATCAGTGTGCTAGGGGAACGGTTAGCATCTAAAGACATTTGCTGCGGGAGACAGAGCATCTATGGGCATGCCTGGTATGCTATGACGTAGATTTTAAAATCAGAAACTCAGTAAATCTGTTTTCACCATATAAATAAAACAATGTTATCATCATCAACGATCTCCACATTTGCCTTAAGTGTTGTGGGGAGGAACAGGTTACAGTTCATTGACTGATGTGTATCAATGGCTGCTGTCAATGTTAAAGGTATTTAATGCCATCAGTCCGTGTTTTCCTAGGTCAACCTCTTGCTTTTCACATCAGATCTTTTCATGTGTAGCACCTGTGTTGGTAGTTGTTCTGGCTACACTCTAACAAGATGACCAAACCATTTGACCTTTTGTTTCTTAACGAATCTGACAGAGAGGTTGAGAGGATAAACTTTGTTGCACAGTGTTTTGTCTCACACGGTTCAACCTATATCCGCAGAGTAGCTTAACTGTCACACAAAGCACAAACTCCATAGTTCCAGCAATGATTCTCAAGGATCTCTATGCACTTATGAAATGACAAAGCCCAGAAAATAAACCTACAACATTCAGAGCATAAGGAAAACAGCTTAACCACTCGACCATAGAGAAAAAGAAAGAAATGATGAAAGTGTGAGCAAAAACAACTTTTGAGGAAAGATGATGAAAGTGTGAGCAAAAACAACTATTGTGGAAAGATGATGAAAGTGTGCCAAGAAAACTCTAACCACTTACTGTGTTGTTAAGTTAGTTGCATATCCTTTACAAGACGTTGCAAAACCAACCCCAGCATTTCTTGGCTGCTGTGGTTTTCTAGGCAAGTTTACATTCAGTAGTTCGCAATGCTTTCTGGACAGTTGGCTTCGCGATAGCACTTTCAAAACCAACTCAAGTGCAAGGCCTGCAGCTGGGATTGAACCCGGCACCTCGCATTCGCAACACCCAAGCCACAGATGCCAACCACTGTGTTGTAGGGATGAAAAATTAATGAAGATACCTTTGTGGCTACCAGACTTATTTAGTAGTTGAATGTTGAATTAAGAATCTACATCACAGCACTTGGGACACTCCCATAAGTGCTCTGTCCCCATCTTCAGCAGCAAGCGAAGAGTTAAAATTCTGATGGTACCAGTAACAGTCTGATTGTATATCCATATCGCCCCTTCCCCGAGCGTCGAGCGCCAGCCAGATCCCCTTGTAACTCCTCGCAGTGCCATTCTCCTCAGACCGTAATGATCTGTCTGTTCCTCGGCACTGTTCACTCGCTCCTAAAGGGCCCTCAGAACATCCAGCTTGTCATACATCAGTTCTCAACCAAGTGGTGCAGAACCGACCAGTCTATCCACCTGCTCATTTCCCAACACACCGGTGGAACCTGGAGAAAATATCCAAAGGATGCTAACTACCCGGGACCTCTGAAGTGATGCTTGCCACTCTGCATGGAGCATGCCTGTCTCCACCTTTCTCAGCATGCTCTGTGAGTCAGTTACAATGACGACATGTGTGTACAGCTGATTCTTAAGCAAACGGAAGGCAGCAGTGACTGGCTCCACCTCCATTCTCAAACTAGACGTTGTGATATCATATGCCATACTTTCTTGCGCCAAGTGACGTATTTATTTATTTAGTATACACTGACCAAAACTGAAAGATATAAATGCACTTGATGTGATGTTTGAGAGATACAGGGACAGTAACACATCATGCATTGTTTGGGACTAAAAGAGGTTGGAAAGGAGTTTGTGATCCATAGCTTGATGGGTAGCAATGGATACTGTCATTCCGTGTCAATGTACAAACCCTTCAATGTCATCAATCCATATTCTTCTAGGGTGACCTCTTGCTTTCACTTCAGATCTTTTAAGGTACAGTGCCTGCACTGGTAGTTGTTCTGGCTGCATTCTTACTAGATGAACAAACCATTTGATCTTCTATTTCTCAATGAATTTGCTGCATTGTGTTGTTCCTACAGTCTGATAATATCATTTCTAACTCTGTCATGGATAGGTAAGCTGGGAGCTTTTCTCATTTCGCAGGTGTTAATTCTACGTAGGTTAGCCTTTGAGAATGTCCAAGTCTGGCACTGGTAGCACAGTGTTGGTATGAATATGCTGTTTATAATCTGTTTCTTGGTGTTCATACTTATATTCAGATGTGATAATAACAGTGTCAGTTGGTATATGAGGAATAACAAGAGAGAAGCAGTAAGGCAATATTACCTTGCGTCTGGTGACCGTAAATGCCAGTTTACAGTTGTTACATTCATCAACATCATCTTCGTGTTGCCACCGAACCTCATTTTCTGCTTGGCGAATTTTCTCTAACTGAACCTGAGAGAAAAATAATTTTCAAAACAATGTTTTCCTGTAATGAATTTAAATAATGCGGATACAAAACAATACATTGCACAATTTATTGCCAGGCACGTGTTAATAAATAAACAATAAAATCACATGTTAATGCTGCTTTGAAGCCTTACAATACAAAACAACTTTAAATCTGTCAGTGTCAGAATGCTTCCCAGTAGTGGGGAAAATAATAGCAAACTTATAAGTGTATTAAATTGAAAATCATCATCATCATCATCATCAAGTGCCTTATCAGCTGACATAGGCTTTCACACATCATCACAGATCTCGGTCTTTGGTGTTCTGGATCAATTCCACTGATGATATTCCTCCATACCACTCACTTATACCATCTACCATCATTTCTCTTGAACAAAAGCCCAAAAAATCACACTCTGAAGACAGTGCCAGCTTTAATTAGTCAGCTCTAACTACATGTAAGAAGTATAACGGCATATTTTGTGTTGAATGTTGCATATCAAGAACAGCTAATCATCCACTGTTTTCTTTAGGATCGAAAAAGTAAAAAAAAAAAAAAAAAAGTGCATAAATCGTATGTGTAAGAATACAACCAAAACTACCAACACAACATTTGATGTGAAAGCAAGAGGGTGACCAAGAGAAGCTGGACTGACATTACAGATCCACATGGAATGACAATAGCATGTTGTGCCCATCAAGCAGGACTGCAAATTGTTCCCAACACTTAACAGCAAAAGTAGAAGTTAGTAATGATTATGATACCCAATTACTGCCTTTCTTATACCACTTCTGCTGTGTAGGCAGGGGTTCTTTAAGTCTGAGGATCTATGGTTGCTTCGCTAGTGTTGTCGCCACAACTGCGGGTGGTGATTTTTTTTAACCCTCAACAGAAAAAATTCCCATCCTTATCGAGGATTTGAACCCGGGTCTCCTGCTTGAGAGCCCAGTGTTCTAACTGCTCTGCCAGACATTACTTAATTATTGATGATGATGAAGATAATGAACAAAGATATATTTTTTGTCTTCCTTTTGTTCTGCTTCCATCAGATTTGTCACTTGTCTCTAAACTTTCAATTATGTGAGGGGAAATCAAAAACTAAAGGTAATTTTGTGTTCTCGCAGAATAAACAAATACTGGCTGTGTCTGAAGTCACCACCAGTACACCTGGAGTGATGTGGAAGTAGGAGTATGCACCACTGCCCCATTCAGTTGAGTGTCGCGGAGCAAAAAAAGGTCATACATATGGACGCACCAGTCCATGAATGCACCAATGAGGAAAGTGTGCCACAGTGCACTTTCTGTGGTCAGAGGGAGTCAAACTGGCAGACATCTACTATCTGCTGTCAGTGCAGTACGGAGCAAGTACCATGACTCAACGAAAGTTGTATAAGTGAGTTGACTGTGTTAAAGCGGGACACATAACTGTACACACAATTGTAACAGATAAAAGTCAAAGTGGATACCAATATCGGGGACGATCGAAGAATCACAATACCACAAGTGGTGGAACTCTTGATGTCGTGCACCAGCTGGCCTTTGAGTTGCTTCCTAATTATCCACACAGCCTTGATCTGGTGCCATCGGATTACCACTTCTTCTGCTCTTTGGAGAAAGAACTGCATGGTCACCACGTCAGGCCAGATGATGAGGTCTGCAGACGGTGCAGATATGGCTTCATGAGCAATTAAAATCCTTTTTTGTGGACTGGATGCAGGATACAAAAGCTGATTGCACGATACCCAAAGTGCATTGCCGTACAAGGGTGTGTGTGGGAAAGTGATACTTGTGCAATCTCTACTTCTTGAGTAGATTAGAAATAAATTATATTTGTTTCACATTTCCTCTCTCAATGGAGCACAGATTTTCAATCAACTCAATTTTTAAAAAAAAGACTTGCAATTGATTGGCTGCAGCTAAACTTTTCTTTAGCAAGAAGTCATTAGTTGTTTCTCATGACTTGTCCATTCCTTCATATTTGTGTGATTTCGCTCATCAGTTAATTAGTTAGTTAAAGTAAAGTAAAGTATAGTAAAGATATCTTTACACGCCCTTAGGCGCATCGGGCATATGGGAAGAGCACCCATATTTTTACAGACCAACGACACTAGGTGGGTAATGTGGTCAGCATTACGCCGGCCATCTTTACTTTTCCAGGACAGCTAATCCTGGTACCCATTTGAGGCTGGGTTGACCTGTGACGTCCCATACCACGATAAAAATCCACGCAGCCCGCAGTGGGTTTCGATCACGGTAGGTTGGATTACGAGTCGGACTCGCAACGCCTTAGCCACGGATGCCGCAATTAGTTAGTTAGCCTTCAAACATATAGACAAAGAGATTTGCTAAGAAGTCAAAATGTCACAAGGATCAGACTGTTGAAGTCCACACTAACCTGCAGTGACTGTGACAGTTTGACAAAATCTCTCTGAACTGCTTCGCTATTTCGGAGATCTGCTTGCAGCGCTTGAACCTTCCCCTTCAATATATGGTTGTCAGACTCCAGTTTGCTCTGAAAAATAAAAGTGAGAATGAACTACTGAATTTCCCCAAATATAGGAGGATCCCATGTATAAGACATACCTTGATTTTTGTACCGGAAATTTTAAACTTTGAACACTGGATCAACATCATGGTACACCGGTAGTAACCCATAAGTGGTCCGTTCTTCTTCTAACTTAAGTCTGAGTCAGAAGAAGCTCAGCACAGTGCACAGGCTCTGTAGCACAGGCGAGGATCCTGAAATACTTTGGGTAGATTTTTAACTGCAAATTTTTGCCCAGTCAGCGCCACTAGGCAACTCTTTTAGATTTCCAACTGCCAAGGGATTTTTTTACGTGCGCAACAATGCACAAGGGCGTCAGATCTCACTACCCATACACCAGGGGGAATTACTAGAAGTCCAAGTCCTCACGAAAAAATCCCAGCTCTTATCAGGTATTGAACCTGTAACCTCTAGCACTTGAGGCAGAATCAATGCATCGAGACCATGCAGCGGAAATTTTGAAAAACAAAAAAAACAATCAATATGATTTCATGAAGTTACTGAACTCCTGTTTTTTCATCATAGAATCTTGAAAACTCATCAGTCAAAACTCTCATCCAAATGATAGTTCTTTAGCTTGTCCTTGTCTGTGTCTGATGATGAATCGCCATCTTCAGATACTGCCTCATCCTCAGTTGCATGCACTGTCTTCATATACTGCCTCATCCTCAGTTGCATGCCCTGTCTTCATATACTGCCTCATCCTCAGTTGCATGCCCTGTCTTCATATACTGCCTCATCCTCAGTTGCATGAGCTGTCTTCAGATACTGCCTCATCCTCAGTTGCATGCATTGTCTTCATATACTGCCTCATCCTCAGTTGCATGCCCTGTCTTCATATACTGCCTCATCCTCAGTTGCATGCGCTGTCTTCATATACTGCCTTATCCTCAGTTGCATGCCCTGTCTTCATATACTGCCTCATCCTCAGTTGCATGTGCTGTCTTCAGATACTGCCTCATCCTCAGTTGCATGCACTGTCTTCATATACTGCCTCATCCTCAGTTGCATGCACTGTCTTCATATACTGCCTCATCCTTAGTTGCATGCCCTGTCTTCAGATACTGCCTCATCCTCAGTTGCATGCCCTGTCTTCATATACTGCCTTATCCTCAGTTGCATGCCCTGTCTTCATATACTGCCTCATCCTCAGTTGCATGCCCTGTCTTCATATACTGCCTCATCCTCAGTTGCATGCCCTGTCTTCATATACTGCCTCATCCTCAGTTGCATGCACTGTCTTCATATACTGCCTCATCCTTAGTTGCATGCCCTGTCTTCATATACTGCCTTATCCTCAGTTGCATGCCCTGTCTTCATATACTGCCTCATCCTCAGTTGCACGCCCTGTCTTCATATACTGCCTTATCCTCAGTTGCATGCCCTGTCTTCATATACTGCCTCATCCTCAGTTGCATGCCCTGTCTTCATATACTGCCTTATCCTCAGTTGCATGCCCTGTCTTCATATACTGCCTCATCCTCAGTTGCATGCCCTGTCTTCATATACTGCCTCATCCTCAGTTGCACGCCCTGTCTTCATATACTGCCTCATCCTCAGTTGCATGCCCTGTCTTCATATACTGCCTCATCCTCAGTTGCATGCCCTGTCTTCATATACTGCCTTATCCTCAGTTGCATGCACTGTCTTCATATACTGCCTCATGAGTGGCATTTGAAATGCCACAGTCTTGAACGACTTAGCAAAGATCTCAATGTTCATATTATCTCAAGATTTTATCACCCATATACAAACTTCTCCTATTGCTGTAATTTTGTTCCCCATTTTTTGTCACCCTGAATCTGAATTCCTAAAAGAGGCTCTGTACTCAAGATATTACAGATAACTTTTCTCTTATCCTCAAGATATTACATATAACCTTTCTCGTATTCATCTACTCAAGATGATAATATTACCTTTCTCTTTTTCATCTACTCAAGGTATTTCATATTACCTTCCTCTTATCCATCTACTCAAGGTTTTACATATTACCTTCCTCTTATCTGTTTATTCAAGATATTACATATTACCTTCCTCTTATCTGTTTATTCAAGATATTACATATTACCTTCCTCTTATCTGTTTATTCAAGATATTACATATTACCTTCCTCTTATCCATCTACTCAAGATATTACATATTACCTTCCTCTTATCCATCTACTCAAGATATTACATATTACCTTCCTCTTATCCATCTACTCAAGATATTACATATTACCTTCCTCTTATCTGTTTATTCAAGATATTACATATTACCTTCCTCTTATCTGTTTATTCAAGATATTAAATATTACCTTCCTCTTATCTGTTTATTCAAGATATTACATATTACCTTCCTCTTATCTGTTTATTCAAGATATTACATATTACCTTCCTCTTATCCATCTACTCAAGATATTACATATTTCCTTTTATCTATGTGCTAAACATATTACACATAAGATCACTTCTTCTATACCATATTCCCAAGATATTACATATTACCTTCCTCCTATCCACTTACCAAAGATACTGTACAATTATTACTTTTCTCTAATCCATCTCCTCAAGATATTACATATGATACCTCCTTTCTTGTACCCATCTCCATAAGTTATTACACAAAACATTATCTTCTTCTTATCCATCTCCTCAAGATATTACATATGATACCTCCTTTCTTGTACTCTTCTCCATAAGTTATTACACAAAACATTACCTTCTTCTTATCCATCTCCTCAAGATATTACATATGATACCTCCTTTCTTGTACTCATCTCCATAAGTTATTACACAAAACATTACCTTCTTCTTATCCATCTCCTCAAGATATTACATATGATACCTCCTTTCTTGTACTCTTCTCTATAAGTTATTACACAAAACATTACCTTCTTCTTATCCATCTCCTCAAGATATTACATATGATACCTCCTTTCTTGTACTCATCTCCATAAGTAATTACACAAAACATTACCTTCTTCTTATCCATCTCCTCTAGCCTCTCCTGCATCTTGCCCAACAGCTGCTTGGACCTGGTCTGCATGCTTTTCAATGACGATTCTGAATCCCGAAGCTTATCCTCTGCCTGAGCCCTCAACACCCTCTCTTCTTCTAGCTCATGTTGTAAAGTGGTCACTTCAACTGATGTGAATATTATAATACACATACATTATAAAATCAATTTAAGGAAAGAAAAATAAACACAAATTCAAAGTGAAATTAAACAAAACAAAATTTCAAAATGAAAATAAACAGTTTTCTTCTTCTTCTTCCTCTTTTATTGCTTTGGGTGTTGCTCTTCTGGCCGCCTCGACCATAAACACATCATGCTGTTGTAGAGTTACTCTGATGTTATCCTTCTATATCGTTCTTAGTCTACCTTGTGCTCTACATCCTTCTCTTTTGGTGTATGGTGTGGTTTCACAAGGCACTCTCTCTAAGTAAGCAAACCATTTGATTTGCTGCCTTTAAAAAAAAAAAACATTGAATTAAGAATGGACATCACAGCCCTTGGGACACCCCCATAAAAAAACACTCTGTTCCCATCTTCAGCAGCAAGCGAAGAGTTAAAATTGCAATGGTACCAGTAACTGTCTGATCGTATATCTGTCTCGCCTTTCCCCTGTGTGTCGAGCGTCGGCCAGATGCCCTTGCAACTCCTCGCAGCACCATTCTCCTCAGAAACTAATGATCTATCTGTTCCTCGGCACTGTTCCCTGTTCCCCCCCCCCCCCCCCCCCCCCCAAAATGATAAAGGCAGATAATTGTTTCTGAATACTTTGGGAGTATAACATCATCATTCAGAGAAATCATTATACATTAAAAAAATATTGAAATGCATGTACTTCTTCTTCTGCACCTGCCTTTAAGTGTGACTGGCACATTGTGTTGTAGTTCACAGCATGGCCGTGATATCTGCAGTTTTAGGCCCTGCACATCTTTAATTAGTCACTTTTTACAACATGTTTGTTAAAGAGCAGTGGGTCTCTCCCCTGCCCCCCCCCCCCCCCCCCCCCACCACTTTTGCCAATGGGGCCCGAGAACCCAAATGGGGATCAGGTACTTCAAAGTTAACCAGGGTTTCTGGGTAATGAAACCAATATTATATAACAGATACTAGATGCTCTTTAAAAGCAGTTTCATTCCTAAGCCACGCATTATGTATTATCAACACATATAACATTACTATAAGTAAGATAACACATCTGAACTATTATAACATACAACTAAAAACATCGACTATTACTTTAAGACAGACAGTGCATAAAATATATTATTATAAAATAAAGGGCCTTTTTCCACACCTTCAGGTGTACTGGGCATACAGGGCTAGACCTATATTTTAGAGACCAATCCGCACTTTGTGGGCGATGTGATCAGCATCACACCGGCCGCCTTTACTTCACAGGTCTGCACCTAGTACCTACTCAAGGCTGAATTCGCCTAGCAGCCAAGATCAATTTTGAAAAAGTCACACTGCTTCTAAACAAGCGTGTTGTAAAAAAAGTGAATAATAAAAGATATGCTGAAATCAGATGTGTTAGCAGAAAGGCGCATAGGTCACAGATTAGCTGTAAAACACAATAAAATCTTCCAATCACCCTTTTAAGGCAGAAAGCAGAAGCAGAAAAACCAGGATCACTGTCTTAACAGGTAGTGCACTAAACACTATGCTACCACAGTGCACCTCTTTTTCAACACTATACGCTAACAAACAGGAATAACATGTGTATTTAAAGATCAAATGATTCAAGATCCCAGAGACCAAAAGACATGAGAATAACATGTGTATTTAAAGATCAAATGATTCAAGATCCCAGAGACCACAAGACACGAGAATAACATGTGTATTTAAAGATCAAATGATTCAAGATCCCAGAGACCACAAGACACGAGAATAACTTGTGTATTTAAAGATAAAATGATTCAAGATCCCAGAGAAAAAAAGACATGAGAATATCATGTGTATTTAAAGATCAAATGATTCAAGATCCCAGAGACCAAAAGACATGAGAATATCATGTGTATTTAAAGATCAAATGATTCAAGATCCCAGAGACCACAAGACACGAGAATAACATGTGTATTTAAAGATCAAATGATTCAAGATCCCAGAGACCACAAGACACGAGAATAACTTGTGTATTTAAAGATAAAATGATTCAAGATCCCAGAGAAAAAAAGACATGAGAATATCATGTGTATTTAAAGATCAAATGATTCAAGATCCCAGAGACCAAAAGACATGAGAATATCATGTGTATTTAAAGATCAAATGATTCAAGATCCCAGAGACCACAAGACACGAGAATAACATGTGTATTTAAAGATCAAATGATTCAAGATCCCAGAGACCACAAGACACGAGAATAACATGTGTATTTAAAGATCAAATGATTCAAGATCCCAGAGACCACAAGACACGAGAATAACATGTGTATTTAAAGATCAAATGATTCAAGATCCCAGAGACCAAAAGACATGAGAATAACATGTGTATATAAAGATCAAATGATTCAAGATCCCAGAGACCACAAGACACGAGAATATCATGTGTATTTAAAGATCAAATGATTCAAGATCCCAGAGACCACAAGACACTAGAATAACATGTGTATTTAAAGATCAAATGATTCAAGATCCCAGAGACCAAAAGACATGAGAATCAGTGCCAACTGAATAAGTCTTCTTCTTTCTTCTTCCCATTAACTGGCTCTAAACTCCAGCAGAAAGTTCTGGTTGTTTTCCACCTCTGGATTTTTATCTTGTTCCAGAACCTGAGTGTTGTGTGCACATGCATTTAACAGATCTGACTTAAATGAATGCAGATTGTTAGTTCCTTGCCTCTCAGGCAGATTCACTCCGACTTCAAAGGAAGCCCCTAATTAGTTGACTCTTGCGACTAGCTTGTTGGGGAGGCAGTGGGTCTATTCTTGTTTTCCGGGGCCCCAGAACCAACAAAGGGAAGTTGAAAAAGTGTTATATTGTCTTACCACGTTTAGTCTCAAGGGCTGCAATCTCTTGGTCAAGAGTTTCTTTCAGAGTTCTCTTCTCTTGCTGTTCTCCCAAAACTTGAGATAGCAATAACTTGGTCTCATTTATCAGCATCTCTTCCGCGTGTTCTTTTGCCACTTTGGCTGAGATTATCTCCTCACGATACTTCAGTAACAGCAATTCCATCTCCTGAAAATAAAGTAAAAGACTCTTTCCACACCTTTCAGGCATATTGGGTATATAGGGCTAGACCTATATTTTATAGACCAGACGGCACTTGGTCGGCACATCACCCACAGTATCATGATGGCCACCTCTACTTCCTAGGCCTGTACCTGGTACCCACTCAAGGCTAGGTCAACCTGGAAGCCCAGGTCATTTTTGAAAAAAAAGTCCAGACCCTGTCAGGAACCGAACCCATGACCTTTCCATCCGCAAGCAAGCGTCTAGCCGCTAAAACATAGCAGCTCCTCCTGAAAATGATAGCTAACTATTATTGTTGTTTTTTTTACATGGGAAAATTGACAGAATGAGTATATCCATGGATGGATTTGGAGGGATTGAAGGGGAAAAAAGTATAAACCTACAGCTCCCTTAACAAGTAAGTCGCAAAAAAGGTAACCAATCAGGACTGTTTCTTTCTAAGTCAGAGCTCATCTGCCAGAGAGGCAAGGAACCAATAGTTTGCATACAAATGAGCCAGATCTGTTAAATGGGTGTGCATGCAAAACTAAAGTTCAGGAACAAAGTCAAAGTCCGGAAGTTGATGAACAACCGCCAGAGTTTAAAGCCAGGGAACGCAAGGAAGGGAAGACGAAGAGGAAGAAATAATTGAAAAAGTGAAAATATTTTGCTGACTCAAAAGAATGAATGATATCATGTTTTGCTTAAACCTCATCGTTTAATGATCCAACTAAAACAGCACCCTTCAAACAAGTGAAGAACTTCAAGTAGGAAGCATCACATAATCAAATAGAAAATCAGAAAATTTGGAAAATCATCTCATCCATAGTCTAGGTGTCCTTAGCCCAGCAGGTGTTAATGTTCAGCACACCTTTATCTAAACAATTTTAATATTCTTATTGTTATTTTATTTTTTTTTTTTTTGTTTCATGGATCACAAGTATTTTGTATCCCTGCTACTATTATATAATGTCACGATCATTACTACTTTTTTTATTATTTTCATTGTTTTGTTTATTATATTTTATCGATTCAACAACACCTTTTCTCTTCCTATATTTCAGTGATTTTCGTGAAACCTGGTGGGCACTGGTAGCTGGAGTATTTCTCCCTTATATTATTGGTGAGTAGTTTATGTTGAGAAAGGCTCTGGCCAAAACTTTGATTTGTCTGTTTTGTGCTTGTTGTTGCATTTTCCCCTTTCACTGAGCTTTTTTAGTCACAGTTCACTGGATTCATTTGTTGACAAATGGCATCTATATTGAAAAACAAACATGGATCAGTGTGTAGTACAAAAGTTGTGTATAACACAGTCTTTTTCAAGTTTAATGCTACCAATGCTAGACTTTGAAAATGACAAAGAAAGAGAAGAAAAAACATTACAACTGAAACAACATTCCTGAAAAGAGCACTTGACATACAGAGTAGAGAAAGATTAGAAATTATTTGATCAGATTTCATTTAAAAGAGAAAACAAAAGTGATACGGCTTGACCATCTATTTCAGCTGCCTACATTCAGTATACCATAATGAAAAATGATAAATAGACCACAGCTAGGCTAAAAAAAAAAAATAGCTGAAGATGTCAATTTCCCAGTCCTTGAGAAAGAGGATAGTGGCTTTTGAGCTGAAATGCTATGGAAAGATTCTCAGAATATCTTGGACAAAGAAGAAGAGAAATATTGACATAGTAAAAGATTTGAACATCAAGGAAGATTGACTACTAAACAGCATCCTGTCTCGGAAGTTGCAATATTTTGGTCATATCAAGCACCACGACAGATTGGAAAAAATTATAGCAGAAAGCATGGTACCAGGAAGGAGGGGCAGGGGCCGACCGACACGAAGATGGGCACAGGATATAAGTGACTCCTTGAGTGTGAAAGTACATGAGGCGGGAGAGCTGGTGAGAGCTTTCTTTCAGGCAGACTTGATGAGAGCGACGTTTCGCAAAGGACCTGATGCATGATGATATGATATGACAATGTAAATAATGGATAAAGGGAATAAAAGAGTCCCCTGGAAACTCTCATGTATGAAGAACACAGACACTCTCCTGGAAACCCTCATGTATAAAGAACACAGACACTCTCCTGGAAACCCTCATGTATGAAAAACACAGACACTCTCCTGGAAACCCTCATGCATAAAGAACACAGACAGAAAACAGACACTTTCCTGGAAACCCTCATGTAGGAAAACACAGACACTCTCCTGGAAACCCTCACTCTCTCTCCTGGAAACCCTCATGTATGAAAGAACACAACACTCTCCTGGAAACACTCTCCTGGACAACCCTCATGTATGAAGAACACAGACACTCTCCTGGAAACCCTCATGTATAAAAAACACAGACACTCTCCTGGAAACCCTCATGTATGAAGACCACAGACAGACACTCTCCTGGAAACCCTCATGTATGAAGAACACAGACACTCTCCTGGAAACCCTCATGTATGAAGAACACAAACAGACACTCTCCTGGAAACCCTCATGTATAAAGAACACAGACAGACACTCTCCTGGAAACCCTCATGTATACAGACACTCTCCTGGAAACATGTAAAAACAGACACTCTCCTGGAAACCCTCATGTATAAAGAAGAACACAGACACTCTCCTGGAAACCCTCATGTATGTATGAAAAAACACACATGTATGAAGACAGACACTCTCCTGGAAACCCTCATGTAACACAAAGACACTCTCCTGGAAACATGTATGAAGAACACAGACACTCTCCTGGAAACCCTCATGTATGAAGAACACACAGACACTCTCCTGGAAACCCTCATGTATAAAGAACACAGACACTCTCCTGGAAACCCTCATGTATGAAGAACACAGACACTCTCCTGGAAACCCTCATGTATGAAGAACAACAGACACTCTCCTGGAAACCCTCATGTATGAAGAACACAGACACTCTCCTGGAAACCCTCATGTATGAAGAACAACAGACACTCTCCTGGAAACCCTCATGTATAAAGAACACAGACACTCTCCTGGAAACCCTCATGTATGAAGAACACACAGACACTCTCCTGGAAACCTCATGTATGAAGAACACAGACACTCTATGGAAGTATGAAGAACAACAGACACTCTCCTGGAAACCCTCATGTATGAAGAACACAACAGACACTCTCCTGGAAACCCTCATGTATGAAGAACACAACAGACACTCTCCTGGAAACCCTCATGTATGAAGAACACAACAGACACTCTCCTGGAAACCCTCATGTATGAAGAAACACAGACACTCTCCTGGAAACCCTCATGTATGAAGAACACAGACACTCTCCTGGAAACCCTCATGTATGAAGAACACAACAGACACTCTCCTGGAAACCCTCATGTATGAAGAACACAGACACTCTCCTGGAAACCCTCATGTATGAAGAACACAGACAGACACTCTCCTGGAAACCCTCATGTATGAAGAACACAACAGACACTCTCCTGGAAACCCTCATGTATGAAGAACACAGACACTCTCCTGGAAACCCTCATGTATAAAGAACACAGACACTTTCCTGGAAACCCTCATAAATAAAGAACACAGACCTTGAAACCCTCATGTATAAAGAACACAAACAGACACTCTCCTGGAAACCCTCATGTATAGAACACAAACACTCTCCTTGAAACCCTCATGTATGAAGAACACAGACAGACACTTTCCTGGAAACCCTCATGTATGAAGAACACAAACAGACACTCTCCTGGAAACCCTCAAGTAGGAAGAACACAGATACTCTCCTGGAAACCCTCATGTATAAAGAACACAAACAGACACTCTCCTGGAAACCCTCATGTATGAAGAACACAGACACTCTCCTGGAAACCCTCATGTATAAAGAACACAAACAGACACTCTCCTGGAAACCCTCATGTATGAAGAACACAGACACTCTCCTGGAAACCCTCATGTATAAAGAACACAAACAGATACTCTCCTAAAAACCCTCATGAAGAAAAGACACTTCCTGGAAACCTCAGACAAACTCTCACTGGAAACCCTCATGTATAAAGAACACAAACAGATACTCTCCTGGAAACCCTCATGTATAAAGAACACAAACAGACACTCTCCTGGAAACCCTCATGTATAAAGAACACAAACAGACACTCTCCTGGAAACCCTCATGTATAATGAAGAACACAGACACTCTCCTGGAAACCCTCATGTATAAATAACACAAAACACGATGGAAAACCCTCATGTATAAGAAGAACAAACAGAAACCCTCATGAATGAAGAACACAGATACTCTCCTGGAAACCTTCATGTATAAATAACACAAACAGACACTCTCCTGGAAACCCTCACGTATAAAGAATACAGAGGCTCTCCTGAACTTCATACTTGACCTCAACATTGCAAGAGAATGCAAGAGAAGCAAGAGAAGCAAGAGAAGCAAGAGAAGCAAGAGAAGCAAGAGAAGCAAGAGAAACAAGAGAAGCAAGAGAAGCAAGAGAAGCTATCATGTTTGCAGCTAACATTAAACATGATATTATTACTTGTAAGGAAGCTGATGTAGCAAAGTGGTTAGAAGCTCCCCTACTAGTCTGAAGGTCGTGGGTTCAAATCAGCACCCAGGCGGATTTTTTTTTTTAAAACTGACTTTGGCTCCCATGTTGACTCAGTCGAAAATGGGTCATCATCATCATCAATTTCCACTGTTGCCGTTAAGGGTTGCGGGAAGGAACAGTTTGTCAACCATTGCTTGATGGGCAGCATTGGCTGTTGTGATTCCGTGTTGATGTAGAAGCTCTCTGAAGTCACCAATCTATGTTCTTCTAGGGCGGCCTCTTGCTTTTACTTCAGATCTTTTCATGTGTAGTGCCTACGTTGGTAGTTTTCTCAAATTGGTATCAGTGATAAAAGCATTGGGCCCAAACTTGTGATTCTTCCTGTATGTTTCCCCCCCCCCCCCCAACCTTACTTTGTTGAGCTTCCTATTTAATTTGTTTACAGTGAAATCATTATGCCAAGTCTCCATGTGAACAGTTACTTCCCTTTGCTATTTACCTCAGGAGTATTTGGGAGACTGATGTCCTCATTCTGAAGCTGCTGTGCTGTTTTAGAGTACTTGTTCACCAGACTGTCATTTTCTTCTTGCAGCTTCGTTAGCTGTCGAATCACAATGGAAACAGGTTATTTTTAGACAACATGAATAAGTAAGTTGCATAACCTCTACAGAAGGTCACAAACAGACAACAACATTTCTTCTTGATCGTTCATCCGAGTGGTGCCTGCTCACAGCAAGACTGCGATATTTATGCCTTTCAACTGACACATCTGCCATTAGTATGGTCTATAATTCCATTGCTTTCCTACAACACAACATAATACTATCGTCTGGAAAGACAGAAAGGTGTCAATTAGGTGCAAGAATCAGTGGACAAAATATATATATTATGTTATCAGTAAGGCTTTCCTTGACGTTTGTAGACAATAATGTGAGAGTTGTAGAAGAAAGACTGGGGTCCTAAAACATGATATTCCCAAAGACAGTAAAGGACCTTTTCCCACAACTTCAGACGTATTGAGCATACAGGGCTAGACCTATATTTTATAGACCAATCTGCATTCAGGGACTGATGTTGTCAACATCATGCCAGCCTCCTTTACTTCCCAGGACTTTACCTAGTATCCATTTAAGGCTGGGTTGACCTGGGATTCAGGAATATTTTTTTTTAATCTGGCTCCATCAGGACCTGAACCCACAACCTTCAGATCCGCAGGCGAGCATCTAGCTGCTACACCATGAAGGTTCCCTTCCAAAGAAAGCAATGGCTGCACATATCCGCTGCAGCCAACCTCCACTACGGTACATAATAGTCTGTCACAAATGAACAGCAAGAGCATATGGTATCCTGTAAGTCACAGAAATTGTTAATAGCATAAATGCACAAAAACTTCCCAGGTGGGTTCTGGAGCCAAATTGTGGGAGAAACAAGAACAGACCCACTGCTTCTCTAACAAGCTTGTTGCAGGAGTAGACTAAATGGGAGCTTACTTCAAAGTGGGAGTGCATCTGCCTGACAAGCAAGGAACCAGCTAAACAACTAGAACTTTCTGCCAGAATTTACCGCCAGTGAACACAAGACAAAGAAGAAAGAAGAAGAAGAAGAAGAAGAAGAAGAAGAAGAAGAAGAAGAAAAAGAAGAATAAGATTATTAGCTCATATGCTAAATTTCAGTGTATGTGACTTGGGCGTTGCACATTACAACATACCCGATTCTATTCTGGCCTGGGGTTTGACAGGGGTATCAAGAGCCGACTGCTCAGAAGCAATGGCAAACTACTGAAAGTATAAACCACAATAGTCAACAAATGCTGAGGTTAGTTATGCAACTTCCTGTAAAGATAAACAGCTTTCTAGGATAGTGTCTTGTGATGTACTGTTTAACCCTTCCCTGTAATTCTCTAGAACTATCTACCCCTAGCATGTTTTCTAATGCCATAAACAGGTCATGCATAATTAAAAATAATCAAATGATTGACACAATGACCGTCGCTAGTCCTCTCACCTCACGCTGAACCTCTTCTCTGCTTTCTGTCAAAGATTTCTGAAAAGAACGGTGAAAGTAGGTGACAAGACATTGAGGTAATTTAAAACATTTTTACAATTAAAATGAAAAAAAGAGTAGAATGCATCCACCTATTTAGGCAGTAAATATGACATAGCAATAGAAAGGAAAGTGCTTAACCAAGTCAATAAGTTCAAGTATCTGGGAACATTGATAACATCGGATGGACGATGCATGGCAGAAATTAGGAGCAGAATTGGCAAGGCAAAGGCAGCATTTCAAAAAATGAAAAGTATCTTATGTCATAAATCGCTCTCATTAAACACCAGAAAACGAGTCCTAAAATATTACATTAAACCTGTTCTGTTGTATGGTAGTGAATCTTGGAATGTGAGCAAACAAATTAAGAATTAACCACTGATATATAGTTCTTGAAAAGAATGTTGTGAATACGTTGGACTGCTAGAATAACTAACAATCTCTGCAAGGAGATGGCTAGTGAAAGTAGAACATTATCTACAACAATGAAAAGGAGACAAAAGTTGTTTGGCCTTGTGATGACAAAACGAGCACTGGAAAATATTGTGATGACTGGAAAGATCGCTGGTAAAAGAGGCAGAGGCAGACCGAGAGAAATGATGGTGGATGGATTAAGACGGTGGCACAGAGTAATATCATCAATGAAATTGATCCAGAACACCAAAGATCGAAATCTGAGGAGATGCATAAATGCCTATGCCAGCTTGCAAAGCACTTGATGATATTGTTTTAGATTTAGGCAGTAATGCAGATAAATATGGGATAGAGATATAAAAATACAAATGCCAAAAAACAAACAAAAAAAAACAGAGGGGTCTTCAGAGCACTAGAAAATCTATGGAAGCCAAAGGAAATTAAAATTAGCACCGGATTTAAAATATTTAACTCTAATGTCAAATCAGTACCACTGTATGGAGCTGAAACATGTAGAACAACTAAAACAATAACTAATAAATTACAAACATCAATAAACTGGTGCTGCGCAGAATTCTTCTTCTTCTTCTGCCTTTCTATCCCCCAATGGAGCATAGGCCCTCAACCAACTCACGCCAAGTCGTTCTATCCTTCGCCATTGCATGGAGCACTCCCCATGTCCTCCCAATCTGTCTAACCTCATTCTCCAGCTCTCTTCTCCATGTGTTTTTTGGTCTTCCTTTATTCCTATGACCCTGTGGGTTCCAATGCAAAGACATTATAGTTATGCTGTTCTCCTGTTTTCTCAGTGTGTGCCCTATCCAACGCCAGCGTCTTTTTCTCACCTCTTGGTCCAATGGAGCCTGTTTAGTTCTCTCCCAAAGTTCTACATTAGTTATTCTATCATACCATTTTATTCCCTCTATTCTGTGCAGGCACCAGTTAATGAATGTCTGTAATTTATTAGTAATTGCCTTGGTTGTTCTCCACGTTTCCGCCCCATACAATAGTACTGATTTGACATTAGAATTAAAAATATTCAGTTTAGTATTTCTTTTAATTTCTTTTGACCTCCACAAATTCCCTAGTGCTATGAAAGCCCCTCTTGCCTTTTGTATTCTTATTTTAATATCTCTATCAGTTCCTCCATCTTTATCTACATTACTGCCTAAATGGGTGTACGACTCCACGTCTTGAAGTGGGGTGCTGTGCAGAATAATTGGAATTAAATGGTACAACAAAATCACTAAAACAGAGCCTTCAGGAATCAAGAGAGGAGGAACAAATACTGGTGTGGGATAGGACGTATATTGATCAAACCTGATGACAATACAACCAGTGTACTTGCAGTGAGACTCAAAGGGTTACAGGAATAAAGGCAAACTAACACAAACATATGGAGAAGGGAATTGTAGAGTGAAGTTAAAACGATGGGGAGGACATAGAGTGACTTGCATGTGACAGCAAAGTATACGACAACATGGCTCATGGCTCAGTTGGTTGAGATGGGCCATTTGGGAAAGATAAGGCAGAAGAGCAAGAAGATCATTAAATAAATAGTGACCTTATCATCATCTGTGTTTTTATTTTGTGTTCATGTTTTGTAAGAGAGGGCTTCAGATGAAAACCTTAAAAGTGTGGTACTGTTTCCTTTTTCTTCTTCTTTAACATTTTGAGCCCTTCAGGTTCATTGCTGTAGAAGATATCACCTACCTCCATTCATCTTTCTGATTGGCCTTCTCTTGGTGACACCAAGTGTTTGCAGGTCTGTCTGGACATTATCTCTCCATAGTCTTCTTGGCCTGCCTTGTGGTCAACGACCATCCATCTCCCTCATGTATACAGTTTTTACTTCTCTGTCATTTGACAGTCTCTCTATATGCCCCAATCATTCCAGTCAAAAGTGTGATATAAATGACAAAAACCATGTTACTTTCTTGTAATGTCCCCAACCATTTCAGTCAAAAGTGTGATATAAATGACAAAAACCATGTTACTTTCTTGTAATCTCCCCAATCATTTCAGTCAAAAGTGTGATATAAATGACAAAAACCATGTTACTTTCTTGTAATCTCCCAAATCATTTCAGTCAAAAGTGTGATATAAATGACAAAAACCATATCACTTTCTTGTAATCTCCCCAATCATTTCAGTCAAAAGTGTGATATAAATGACAAAAACCATGTCACTTTCTTGTAATCTCCCCAATCATTTCAGTCAAAAGTGTGATATAAATGACAAAACCCATGTTACTTTCTTGTAATGTCCCCAATCATTTCAGTCAAAAGTGTGATATAAATGACAAAACCCATGTTACTTTCTTGTAATCTCCCCAGTCATTTCAGTCAAAAGTGTGATATAAATGACAAAAACCATGTTACTTTCTTGTAATCTCCCCAATCATTTCAGTCAAAAGTGTGATATAAATGACAAAAACCATGTTACTTTCTTGTAATCTGCCAATATTGTTGTAAGGACATCAAGAGTGTTAAGCGCTTGACATAATTCATGGTGCAGACGAGTACAGTGATGTCATAATGACAGCTGAAAGATGGCCACCCCACTTTTGACATGTAAACAGTCTGATTGGAGACAAGTGATATCTATAGCAAGGGCCTTAGAATGCTGAAGAAGAGGTAAGGAAAGATGACTAGAAAGCTCAATGAGAGCAAAGAATACCATACAACCGAACATTTCTACTTAAGTCTTTATCAACAAATAAAACCCCCAAAAAACTCAGCCACATACTTACACAATGATCCTGCAGTTGTAGGTGAGTAATGGACATCTGCTTTTGGAAGTTTTTGATACAATCTTCACAGACCTGAAGTCTGCTGGACAGATCAGTTATCTAAAATTGCAACAACCAATGGACACCAGTATTATTTAAACTTTAAAATAAATGATGTCAAAATGAAGTAAAGGACATTTTTTTATGCTGGAAGGGCAGGGGGAGGGGGGGGGGCATTGGGTATATGGTGCTAGACCCCTATTTGTTTTACAGACCAATCAGAGAGAGATGTCAGTATCATATGATCACTTCTAAACATTTCTGGGTCCCCATTTTAGGCTGGGTCAACAGGAGTGTTCTAATGTCTTTGAATCCATGTGTCTGACTGGTAGCTTCCCATCTTTCCAGAGGACAGTGTTATAATTTCTTTAAATCCATGTGTCTGACTGGTAGCTTCCCATCTTTCCAGAGGACAGTGTTATAATTTCTTTAAATCCATGTGTCTGACTGGTAGCTTCCCATCTTTCCAGAGGACAGTGTTATAATTTCTTTAAATCCATGTGTCTGACTGGTAGCTTCCCATCTTTCCAGAGGACAGTGTTATAATTTCTTTAAATCCATGTGTCTGACTGGTAGCTTCCCATCTTTCCAGAGGACAGTGTTATAATTTCTTTGAATCCATGTGTCTGACTGGTAGCTTCCCATCTTTCCAGAGGACAGTGTTATAATTTCTTTGAATCCATGTGTCTGACTGGTAGCTTCCCATTTTTCCAGAGGACAGTGTTATAATTTCTTTGAATCCATGTGTCTGACTGGTAGCTTCCCATCTTTCCAGAGGACAGTGTTATAATTTCTTTAAATCCATGTGTCTGACTGGTAGCTTCCCATCTTTCCAGAGGACAGTGTTATAATTTCTTTGAATCCATGTGTCTGACTGGTAGCTTCCCATCTTTCCAGAGGACAGTGTTATACTGGGCTATGAGGAGGCATGGTGCTCACAGCCCATGGCGATGGCGAGTGTGACTAGCAAGACCCGCCCGTGTCAAGAAAAGTCTTCCACAATTACAGAATAGGATTTTGGGACCACTTTTGTCAACATTTGTGTTTAGTCCGTTTCTTCTCAGGGGCACAGTTCTCATCCTTTCTGCAGTCATTTCTTCCTTCATTCTGATTCCCTTCCTGATGTGCCTCCTCCACACAAGGCGGTCCATGGCATTTTGTTCCCATGAGTACCCCTCAATACATGTATCATTCATGTCCCGTTGCACACATCTTTATATCGTAGTAGAGGTCAGCCTCAATATCTTCTACTCGCAATGTGTCTATGAGGTTTTAAATCAACAACCACTAAGGCAGCAGGCTCCCATCCTTAAGGCAGTATCTAGTTTTTCACTGTTTTAATGTTACCTGTTAGTAATGTTTAGTTGTTCTTAAAGTTCTCTCCCAAAGTGACACTAAAAAACCAATATTTAAAGAAAAGCAAAAATCCTGACATCAAAGATGATCTAACTGAAAATAATCCTATTGGCATCTGTTTGTGAAATACATAGCCACACAGAGTCATTTCAGGTCTCATATACACACAAACGCGGCCTCCCTGGCTTAGGCCTAGCGAGTCTGACTCATAATTCCAACGTACGGCGATCAAAACTCACTGCTGGCTGCGTGGAATTCTATCATGGTATGGGGCGTTGCAGGTCGACTCAGCCTAAAATGGGCACCAAGATGGATGTCCTGGGGAAGTAAAGACGGCTGGCGTAATGCTGACCCCATTACCCACATAGTGCTGATGGTCTGTAAAAAATATTAGTACTCTTCCCATATGCCCGATGTGCCTAAGTTGTTCCTTTAAATTTTTTTTAAAAACTTATACACACAAACAAAAGTTACAGAAGAAAAATGTCTCAACGTATCAAAGGTACAATATTAAACACATATACCCCCTCCCCCCCATACGTGTGCGTGCACACACACATACACACATATATCACACATGCATGTGCACACATATGCATTATATATATATATATATATATATATATATATATATATATATATATATATATATATATATATATATAATATATATATATATATATATATATATATATATATATATATATATATATATATATATATACACACACACACATTACACATACATGTGCACAAACACATACACACACATTTATGCATTATATATATGTGTGTGTGTATATATGTATATATATGTGTGTGTGTATATATGTATATATATGTGTGTGTGTATATATACACACACACACACACATATATATATATATAATATATATACACACACAGAGAGACAAAGAGAGAGAGAGAAAGATGTGAGAGAGAGACACACACACACAGTTCAGTAAAACAGAGCTTTCAGGAGAAAAATAAACAATATCCAGTGAATCAAGAGAGGAGGAACAAATACAGGTGTGGGATAGGACGCATACAGATAATACCTGATGACGTGTACTTGCAGTGGGACACAGAATAAAGGCAAACTAACACAAACACACGGAGAAGGGAATTACAGAGTGACAGCAGAGTATAGGAGAACCTGGCTCAGCTGATAGAGATGACCAAGTGGAGAATAATATATTGACATATGTATATGTGTGCGAATGCATATGGGTGCGTGTGCATTTGGGTGCGTGCGTGTGTGTGTGTGGGTGTAGGCGAATATATGACACCTTTTTTCTTAAAGTAAAAAAACTGAAGACTCTCGAGGCTTTGTCACTTTCTACGACATCATGAAATACCAAATAGAATGACGATGGGTAATATACAGGGGAAATAAGGAAGGTTTAGGCCAAGGATAGCTTATTTAAAACAGTCAGTCACAGAGCTATCAATGCACAAATGTGAATTTAACCCTACCAGACCTGAGGCCCTGAACCTAACTGTCCCCTATACCTGAGCTCCTGGGCATTAACGCGACATTGTAGAAAATAGGCTTATCTTTTATCTAGCGCCAATATTCCACCTTTGTGTGCCAATCCACTCAGGAGGATCAGGATTGTTTCACAAAGTGAGAACCATATGTTGCAGTTTGAGGGACACGCCCACTTCTCTTACTACCGATCTACTTCTAGATTTATAATTTTCAAGATTCTTCAACTGTGAATGTATTCTTCATGAAACTATAACTCCGCAGAGTCTGAATAAACCAAAGTATACATCACCTGTTGGATTGTGAAAAGCCTAGACCTACTTTACTTTCCTGTCAAAGTGCTTGGTTCATCGGCCACTTGTTTTATTGTGAATTTTCTGAATTTTTTCATGTAAAACAACAAATTTTATCCAAACACATGTGGGCGGACATTTAGGAAGACTTTCCATGAGATCTGATTACGATTGGCTAGTTATTTTTAGTTTGTGACGCATCTTTTTCACGCACTATGAAAATTGCTGAAAATTAAGAAATTCCCGAAAAATCGGGCAAGCGGTCTGGTAGGGTTAAAGAGACTGGCAGAAGATAATAGAAGAATAGCATGATTAGAAAGCTTCACAAGTAGCTCAAGCGCAAAAATACTTCATGATGATGGTGGCGCTTTAACCCCCCCCACGAGCAGAAAACCTGGCACTTCCTGTTTGTGCCACAGCGCAGTAAATGTCCCTTTCCCAGTTACTAAAGAGGCCTGTTTACAAGCATCGCTTCAGAGGTCCCGAGTAGTAAGCGTCCTTTGGATATTTCCACCAGGTCATGCTGGTGTGTTAGGAACGAGCATGCGGATAGACTGGCCGGTTCTGCACCAACTGGTGGTGAACAGAGGCATAACAGGCTAGATACTGCGAGGGCCCTTTAGGAGCAAGTGAACATTATAGGGGCACAAACAGATCATTACGGTCTGAGAAGAATGGCACTGCAGGGAATTACCAGGGGATCTGGCCAACTCTCAACGGATCTACAATCACGACAGTTACTGGTACCATCAGAATTGGAACTCTTGGCTTGCTGCTGAAGATGGGGATGAAGTGCTTATTGGAGTGTCCAGAAGGATAGGATGTTGATTAACTGCTTTTTTGTTTTTTTTTTTTTCACTGGGCAAATTTTTATAATGACTGGTAATGAGCTTAGTAGCGAAAAAGTGGCATTTCGGTGTGTTTCCTTGTGAAAAATGGCTTTATTTTTAGAAATTAGGACACCACAATTTTCTATTACTGGCAGCTGGGTAACAGTCAATAACATCAGGTCGTGCTAACAAATATTTCCACTCAGAGAGATGTAACCCAGTCAGTTCTCTGCCCACATTTTATTGATTACTCCAATTATTTTGTAAGCAATTAAATAATGTCTTGGTCCAACATTGGAATTTTTTTTTTTTTTTTTTTTTTGTGTAGGTTGCCAGGGAAAGGGTTAATACAACCTTTTTTCAAACAAGACTAAACTTACATGCATCTGGGCTTCCTCCGCTGCATCCTTCACGGCCAACTGAAGCTCCTCATGACGTTGCTGAAGATATTTGTTGGTTTCCCTTTCAGCACTTAGTGACTTTTCCAGCAGTTTGATCTGCATATTGGCAGACTGAAGCTCTTCCTGCACTGTCTGAAGCTGGGTCTCGTAGTTGCTACACATGCTGCATGGCTGGCCAAGCTTTTCTCTAGCCGCCCTAATCTAAATCAAATATCAAATGATACAACTGAAAACCTTCTGGTTCAAGTAAGATTTGGAATGTGCTATATTAGACTTACATTACTAAACTACAGAATTTTTATACACTATTAAACTTAATCCAGTTAAATTAAAAACCTATTAGGTAGATGGGAGCCGCCATGCAAGACACATGCTTGTGGATCGGAAAGTCGTGGGTTCGAGCCCTGATGGAGTTTAAATTATTTCAAAAATGACATTGGCACCAAGGTTGACCCAGCCCTGAGTGGGTACCAGGTAAAGTCCTGGGAAGTAAAGGTGGTCGATTTTATGTTGACCAAATCACCCATCGAGTGTAGACTGATCTATAAAATACAGGTCCAGCCCTATATGCCCAACACACCTGAAGGTGTGGAAAAGGGTCCTATACTTTACGTTTTATTAGGTAGATGACAAACACTGTAATGCATGGACTATAACAAGAATAAAATAGAAATAATGCAAACCCAAGACA